TTTGATTTAAAGAATTAGACAAGAGGTGTCCCACACCTATATAAATACTGTTGAACGAAATAATAATAGCGTAAGCAATGTTAAAAATCCACGTAGCTGAATACGCTGCAATCATTGCCAGCTGAAATAAACAAACATTCCTGTACTTCGTCAAAATTCCCAAATTTCTCATTTGTTGGTCAACGGTATTTATCATGCCGAAAATTTGAAACAATTTGGATCCGTTAAAAGCGACATGGAGCAGTGTACTTATAGTTCCCACCAAGCCCTGACTGAGTGTGAGAAACATTAATATAGCGTCAAAATTGAAAGTTTGTATCTTGGAAATGGTATCTATCGAAATAATCGATACACCGATAATATTGAGTACGATAATAGCTAAAATGTGTTAATTAGTGCAGGAACTTGTAATCTGTAACAAAGCTCACCGAAACCTGTTATAAATTTATTGCGTCGGTCTTCTGTGTAGAAATATTTTCCATTTTTGAGTTTAGTTCTTGTGAATGGAACTAAACCGGAAATTTTTGCAAAAGGATAAAACAGGTTAAAAGTGTCGTAAATATTTTCGCAACGAGCAAAATTCATTTTCAGAGAAAATACTTAATGTGTTCGTTTGATGTGTTAGTGGGTACTAAATGAGAGTGGTAATATAACAATATTGCAAATGCATTATTAAATATATGAAGTGATGATATTACACGTAAACCATTGATAAAGTATGTTGCTGCAGATCAATAAAATATGGATTATAGTTTTTTTTAAGTAGTCGAATACAAATGAAACTTTAAGAAAAAAAATGGAGAAAATATTTGATAAAAATGTTATTTATGCTCTGCTATGTAGAATTACTTAATAAAATGTTTAATAATTTGTAAAATATGTCTTGTTATTACGAGCGCAGCGAGTGTTGTAAACCCATGAGCAGAAAAAAGTGCTTTATAAATGGGTTTCATACATCACCTCGTTTTTTCGCCTCAAAATCAATTAATTTTATTCGTATTTTGAATTTAACGCTTGAAATTTAGTGCTACGGTGAATGGTTACCACACTAGGTCTGAAAACGAAAGATAAACTGGCAAGTTTTTTCATAATTTGTGAATTAAAATTTATAAAAATGAGAAAATCAGTGCATTAGGCGATGACGAAGTAATGACGGAGAAAGCGGACGCTGCAAGCTAAATATTCTAGAAAAAATTTATGAAACCGAATATGAACTTTTCATGGGATGGTGTAAGAAAAACCGACTAAAAAATGTTAATGAACCTGCGCTCTTAGCTGATTTGAACGAGCTGTTGAAGAAATATAAAGATCCAAGTTTATGGTCAAAATTTTCAGTGATCAAAGTTGTTCTCTATGTGGAAGGCGATCGATACAGACGACAGAGAGATAGACCGACAGACAGACAGACGGAAACGAGAAACATTTTAATTTAACGAATAAAATATATTGTTTCACATAATATTAATCCTGCATAACCAGCTTAAAAAAAAAAACAAAGACAAGTCGAAAAACTTTGTTGTATGATTTTGATTTTGTGTTCAAAACATATACACATATACCAAAAGCGCAATAAAAAACACGATAAAAGGTAGCCATAGATTTTTGAAGATTTGTCTTTGATTGTTGCTTTTTCAAATTAATGGTAATCTGACAAGACGAAAGTTCGATCAAAGACTAATATTTTGAGGTATTTTTAACAGTATTAAAGTACGACTAAAATTTCCAAGTATTGGGTCTGGTAGTTTTTTCAATAAACAAACCACGAAACTTCAAAAAAACATTAAACTGTCCAAAGCAGTCAAAGAAAAAAAAATAATAAAAAATTCATCTTTGTACTCTAAATTTCACTTACCTTAGATTTAATTACTTCTATTGCTGAGACGACCAACATTACCAGTAAATTATAAAGGATTCCACAGACAAATTTTTGACCTTTGTTCTCTTCTGACTGAATCCTCTGGATAGTAAATATACCCATTAGAAGCATAAAATTAGAAGTCAGATATAATATAAGAATGCCGATCAGAAAAAGATCACCAACGTAAATACAAACTTGTTGTATTTTCTGGCATGTTTGTGAAAAATCAAGTATATATTGTTGCAAAAAAATTGAATTGTAGTCAGAATTTTTCATTCTTTTTATGCTTTTAGTCAAAAGCTCTAGTCTTTCACCAACCGCCCAAGCAAAGTGCATGAAGTAGATTAAACATATTCCTTGACTGTTAAAATTAATTGCGTAGCAGAGAAATTGTGCAACGTCCATATAAAAATAGTTTGAATGAAATAAAATAGTATAAATAATATTAATAATCCACATAATCACATAAACTCCTACTATCACTAACTGAAAATTTCGCAAATTTTTGTATTTAAGAGTAATCTTTAAACTGGTTATTTTGTGATCAATGATGTTGATCAGATCAAATATTTTGAACAATTTTGATATGTTGAAATTGACATAACATACTGTCATTGCATTTCCTACAAAACACTGTGCGAACCCAAACAACATCACTATAGTCTCAATGTTTTGAGAATTTGACGTGTGAAGGGTATGAAGTGAAAGGACAACAACGCCGATTAAATTAAGTAAGATAACACCTGAAAGAATATTGTCGTAAATTAAAATTTGCAAAATATTAGTCACGCTTACAACATCCCGGCAAGAGTTTGTAACTGATCTTTGTGGCTGCCTTTGTGTAAATGACCTTTTTGTTTTCTAAATAAACTCTTGTAAATGGTGCCATCCCTGAAATTTTAGTTAAGAGATAAAAAAAATCGAGCGAATCGTATATGTTTTTATATCGAGGAAGCCACATTGTTGTCAACATCAATCTAAGGGTTTTAAATAATCTAGTACTTTTGTTTTAGGTGATTGTGACATACAAATCTGATTACTGAATAGTAAATGTGTCGAGATTACCTAAGTTATTAGGTGCTTATCCACATACATAAATTATAATCGACGTATATTAGATGTTGTAAACTGTACCTTTATAAATTTATGGCAGTTATATTTTTCAAATTTCAATACATCTTTCCAATTAATATTAGATGATTAATGCATGTCTACTTGTAATTAAATTAAATTAAACAATTTAAAAAAATAAATTAAATAATTTGAAAATACAGTGTGGATATATGTTTTCGTGATACACGAAAAATAAAAAATGAAAACTTTACTTTCGGTAATCGTAGATTAAATTAATGGTAGTCATTTATCAAAATGAACTCTCGAATAAATCCGATTTGGACAGAAATTTGTTGAGAATGCAGTTGCCACTTTATTAAGTGCTTAATATTTATAATTCATCAAACTTTACTTAACGGCTTAACAATGATTACCCTCAAGAACTTAACCTCTTTCATAAAGTTCCTCTGGTATTTAAATTCCGCGGTCAAACACCTTAATTTTTTTTTGTGCAATAACTATGATAAATTTCCTTCTGTCTAATATAATAACAGTAACGCATACAATTTTTGTTATAGGTCATAGTTTTTGCACTGTCAGAAGAGAAATTAAGTACAAGCAAGCAATTTACGTTAAACGCCATCCTGGAACTTCATTAGTATTAAAAATGTCAATAACAGTCGATTGCAGATGTTATATTTCGAAATAGTTCGCTATTATGTAAAGTAATCGAAAAAAATCCTATCATATTGAACATGTGAAAAATATTTTTGAAACAATATGGCATTACCTAAAAGGTAAAAGTGTGGTGTAATTTCATGGTATTTAAAGCTCGATTTGATTTAGAGATTTGTACACGGGTAATAGCAAACAATTATTATTATTAGCTATTGAGTTGTACTCAGGTGGTAAAGAGATAATCGTGAATTTATTCTTCATGAAAGAAAAATCTGTTATCAGCTTGCGACCTCATAATGTGTAAAAGTGACAGATTCTAAACATAATGAAATAGTGTAAAGGCTAATAGAAACAGCGGATGCATTGAAACGTCATTCATGAGTCAAGTAAGAGTGGAATTATCAGTAATGAAATTCATTAGCTTTTACTTGACATAGCATCAAAATGAATTTTTATTATTGTTCGATGGTTGTCTGTTATGTAAGTAAAGACGTTAGAATTGTTTTTGTACCTTATTATTAATTGTGAATTTAGTAATGAAGAATCATCTTTAATTGAACTTTGTATGGAATTAAATTGTCTTACTTAAACAGAAACCATAAATTTTCCCGCATTTAATTTTCGGTTTAACATTTTCTAAATGTTACTGTAGAAATATCAAATAGTAAAAGTTGATTATCTTTAGAGTTTTTCATGCATGTTATGCAAAGGCTGCAAAGAAGGATACTTACGGAATTTTTCTCTAATTAATGCATCTGTAATAAAATCTCGGCTGGTTATTAGCGGATTGCAACCAGTTCACGACAAACAAAACGATATTTTCGATCCTCTTTGTCTTAATATAACAATAACGATTATTTCTGCACTTCGAGGAATTTTCGTGGTGAGCGCACTGAATGAGATGTGGGTTATTGTGTAATTTTTAGGTTAGAGGTCAAGACTCATCGACAGGTGTGGTAGACACTCTTTACAATACTATTTCGTACAGGAACTTTTTCGCAAAAATTTAAAAAATAAAAAACCGATCGAACATCGCATCACTCCAACCTTCCAAGCTCATTAGCTTTTATAATCTATTAGTCAAATAAATAGCACTTTTATTAGATCATCTTGACATTTCATGTTTTGTTTTCAGTTTCGTTAATTTTTACAACAGGAAATTATCTTTGTTAAATATTCAGCCGTCATTGCTGTGGCCTGGCATTCTAAAGCTCACCCATGAAACAATAATAATTCGAATGAATATTAAATTTCGCTAAATCCGTCTATTTACCGCACCTTACCTAATACAGCATGCATAATTTCCAATGACCTTCGCATCAGGTGCATCAAAGTTTCATGAAAAAATACTCATGTTACCGAAAAAAAGTTTACAATGATTCCAGCATCTTTAGGTGAGGGTATGCGAATTTGCCCCTTGGCCGTTCATCTCAAGTATAAATTGGATTGTGACCTGGCTCATCCACAGTGCTTTAGTGACCACCAACGGCATAATCATGAACTCTTTGGTAAGTAACCGTTGATTTAGTGCCTCAGTAGTTCTAAGACTCCAGGCGGGTTAAGTCTGCGAATTTTCGGTTGATGATTTTTTAGTGCTGTAAAGTGTGATTTTTGATTTTGCGGTTGACAATATTGAAATTAAAAACTAATGTTCTAGTAAGTATCAAACAAATTTTTTTATATTTGTGTATATAGTTGGTCAATTTAAAATCCACAAACCAGAAGGCACTAATTATATTTGGCTCCCTGTTGTGTTATTTTATTTTTTTTTATGTTATATATTATACTTATTATTAAAGAAAATATATATTTTAGATATTTTATGTTAAAACATGAAAAAATTGTCGGGGACACTAAGTTTTTTGAAAAATTATATATTTTTGTTATTATTCGACGCTTTAAGGAAATGATAAAACTCTAAACAAATATAATTCGTGTTTTCGCTTATCCTAAACATCTTTAAAACAACGTAAATATCCAAAATTTGAGATTAGAAATTTACTATATATTTTTTCAAAGAGTATACTGTTATAGGTACTGCTACAAAGAGAAAACATTAAATGTTTCTCTTAGAAAGGTATTTGACAAATGCATTTTAGTTACAAAATGTCTACAACAAATTCAAAATCAAATTGTTAGTAAAATTGATATACAGGATGTTTTACCTCCACTTATTGGTATCAAAACTACTTTCAAACTGCTATATAGGAAACAAATTATGTTTAAAAATAATTTAAGGATGTCATAAAATTTATCGTAGCACTTCTAATTCTATAGGAAATAAAGATAGCTTTTATCTACCAAAAAAAATTTAAAATAAATAATAAATTAAAAAAAATATATTCTAAAAAATCGAATGAATAGTATTTATGTTTATGGGTAACAGTAATTTTGCAAAAATACTTTGTATACTTTTGTAATATTTTTTGTATGCAAAAATTTGCTGCCATTTTTTAAATGTAAATATTTTTGAGTTTTTTCATATGAATGAAATGTAACAAACTGGGTATATGAAACTTATGGTTTTGGAGTTTTTGTTATTAAAAGAACATTTTGTAACTTAGTTTTAAAACTTTTGGTGATAGATTAAATCCAAAATAATAAAGGCGAATCACCATAGTGAAAAATTAATTCCTTGACTTTTTCCTTTTTTACATAATTTTTGTCATTTTGCTTTTGAAATCTTCTTTCAACGGTGTTAGTAATGTACTTATTACAAAAACAACGTGGTAAGAACATTCATGGTTTTAAAATTTTAAAACCTATTTTCGAAATAAAATACTTTAGTTGTTAATATATGTTCAAAGTGCTATGAAAAAAATAAATACAAATTTTGGAGTTTGAACTAATATCATTTTTGGTTTCGTTTTTTGAAAACAATTGTCCAAATTTGATTGTTGATAATTTTTCACATAAATTTACTTTAAAAATAAATTCGTTTTTTTAGAACATAATTTTATTTTGCGCTGACGTCAAAGCCTCAAAAAATCATTCGTGCTGGGTAAAGACCGCCTTCCAAACCCACTGATTGAGTTATCGCCATCAACAAAAAAAAATTAATTTGTTCCGACCATAACTGTCTTGTTAATTTAGAAACTATCCCATAATTTATAACCGCTTTACGAAATTCCTGACCTCCACATTATCACCAACACATCTGTAGAATAACATGGTAATTTATTGCAACCAGATAGTCTTCGTGACGATACTTGGCTGCGTGTTGGCCCAAAGAGGTGCCTACAGACAGCCCCAGCCAGGCCAGCCCATCGCAATCCTCCGACAATCGCAGGATGTGAACTTCGATGGTTCGTACCAATGGAGGTGATTGTCTAAACGCTATCCGTGTCAAAATCTCTGATTAATCTTTGCGTTGCAGTTACGAAACCGAAAACGGCATTGCCGCTCAAGAACAAGGTGTGTTGAAAAATGCCAATAGTCCCGAACCCGCCGAAGAGGCTCAAGGTTCCTTCAGCTACACTGCCCCTGACGGAACCCCCATTTCCGTCCAGTACGTCGCCAACGAGAACGGGTTCCAGCCTCAAGGTGCACATTTGCCAGTCCCTCCACCAATCCCACCACAGATCCAAAGGGCTTTGGAGTGGATTGCCGCCCATCCAGAATCCGAGCAACAAAGAGGAGGAGGAGGATTTAGGAGACAATAAGCTGGACAATAGGCCGACTGTAACTCTGTGGCTGCCTTTGTATCATATTTATTACTATGACGTGTGATTTATTATATTATAACGGATTAAGATTCGATTGCGGATTATGCAAGGCAATAAATTGTTAAATTAACAGAAATTTGGGTTTTATTATTGCTACAAAATTGAGTTTCTGCGAACTAACTGAGACCTTGTGGTGAAGTATAAATTGACGAAGGAACCTTTAGCAAACTATAAAATTACTATCCATTGACAAAAAAAGAGAAGACACAGATGGCATTATGACGCAACCATGTTTGATAAAACCAACTTTATTAATTAATGGAAGTTCGAGTCTAAAGACAAATATGGACTTCATTAAAACCTGGAAACTTATTTTTTATAACCCAGTTGAGACCTTGTGGACCGTCGTGACTGATCTATTAAAAATTACGGAAGACTTATTAATATTTCTATCATTGTATATAATGAGCATAATTATGTATTATTAACATAGGGATGCAATATCTTCGTGTCAAAACTGAATTTACAGCTGGAGGATTTTGTTTCGCAACGATGATAAATTAAGTCGAGTTTACGGTTGCACATCCATATATTGACATTTTGGAAATTCGAATGCCATTCAGAGTATTAAAGGAAAACATGGGTGGCTTTCTTAATATAGCGTCTTCCATTCTTAAATCAACGTGTGGTTTTACGTGGCATATTATTTTAACTACTAGTATTTCGTATGACAACCGGTCATTATTTATGTTTTTATGAATAGACTCTGTAATATTGTTTTACAGGGCGCGTCGGTGAAAGTTGCGACATTTTCATAAATGGTGTGGGAATTCATAATCTTATAAGATTATAATTATTGCTCAAGCTGATGCACTTGTTTTTATAATTTGGGTTTTGATGGTCGTCTTTTGTAATAAGATTTCAATTACACGGGAAATTATACTAAATTGGCAATTAACACATAATAAAGGAAAATCACAGAGTTTAGGTTTTTTAAGTGTTATTAACTGAATTAATGTTTTGCAATGTTAAGAAAAAAAAAATGTGTAAGTAAGACACAAGATTCTACAAACTAAATTTATAATATGAACGTAAATCGCTCACTTTCAAGTAATAATTTTTATTTCCAGTGAGGAGTATACTGGAAATAAAAATGTTGTATTTTTGTTGGTTTATCTTGAAACTGATAACAAGGTCTGATAAGTTGTAACAGACAAAACTCATAGCTTACAAAAAATCTATTAAACGAAAGATTTTCAGCAGTTTTTCCATTTTTTTAAAACACATTTAAATTTTCAAAATTTATTTCTAATCGGTATTCCTTCCATTGTGCTTTCTGTAATAATAAGCTTGTCCATTGTAGATTTTAATAGTATGATAACATTGATAACAATGTAGACACTACATTTACATACTCAAATTAAAAAAAAAAAAAACAGTTTCTATAGCGTGCCCAAACGTCTTTTGGAAAGTAAAGCAGATTTTTTTTATTCTTTTGAAATTTGAAAAATTTCCTATATAAAATTAAACAGATGCTTTCACAATTTTTCTTTGAAAGAAAGACAATGTGGAGGAATTGTTCACGGTGTCAAAAATACGATGCGATAAAACGCAAAGATAAAACACAAAAGTAGTAAAAGACCTAACCAAGAAAGTTTCTTCGTTGGTCTCGGTTATCAACTAAATGTGAATAAAAGAACATAAGTGGCCGAAATAACACGACAAGTTGTTACCTTAAACATATCTGGTATGTTAGACGTTTTTTTGATATTTTGTGAAAAACATTTTTTAAGTTATTGATAATTTATTTACATATTGGGTGCGTACATGGACATTTTAGGGATGCTAAAAGTTTCATTTTTAAATAATTAATAAACAAGGACAAGATTAGTATATTAATAAAATTTTATGGCACTGTTAGCATGATTTAAGCCAACCTTAGTGGAAGAAGCTTCCCGGTTGGAATTCTATAATTTGAAAAATAGTTGGTCGTCAGGGACTCACTCAATTAAGCAGTGGAGCAAAATTTCAAAAATCCAATATTCATTAATAGAGCTTTTTTTAAATTCTGTGATTAATTAAGTAAGTCATTGGAGATAGCTCATACGTGTCAAAATTTTAAGGCAAGTATCCCGTCCCCACAGAACGACAAACCTTCTTTTTTATTTTCGTATGTTATAAAATTTGAAACATAGGAAACAAGAAACCACAATTTTTTCTTAAATATTTATCATACTTATCGGTCGAGAAGGAGGAAATTTCAAGTTTTTACTGTTCGAGCGTAAACTAATGGCGTTGTAATGTGTTCTCGTCGTGTCATGGCACTTTGATGTCAAATTTTATTTGTGTTTTAGGAATATCGTGTATAGGGTAATACACTAACCAAAATTTGTCAAATCGGACCCACAACAATATGGTGACGTCACCTCAAAATGTTGCCTAGTAACTGTGATATCAGTTTGATTAAATAACATACTCCTACTCTTCCAGTTTATGAATCGTACTTGAGTTGCTGCCAAATTTTTGGAAAAAATCAAAATCCTATAAAAATCTTTCACAATTTTACTTTGAAACTGAAAAACCGAATGCTCTGAAATCTTGTAAACGCTAAGATTACCGTAGGAATGGTAAATGGTTAATAAAAATATATCCGTTTATCTATTCTAACCAACCAATTTTTTTTTTGGAAAAAATGCAAGAACTAAAATCCTGTAGAAACGATAAGGTTTCACGTGTGTATTTTACTCTTGTTAAAATGCGGAAATTACTCTTCAAATAAATTTCGAATATGCAGTAAATTAAAAAAAAAGATTATAAAAAAAGTCTATTTAAGCTGAACTTCTCTCGCCTTGAAGTACAATACAACATATGAAGTTTTTTCGAAAAACGATAAAATTTGATTTTGGGATTTTTTTATGAGTTAATTAAAATAAACTTAACAAAATTTTGTGATGACGTCATCTGCATTTAAGGATATTCAGTAATTCTTTTCAGTCACCCTTATAAGCAGTTGTAAAAAATATGAATGCACTGACAAATCACCAGTATAGACTCAATATTTTGCACAATTTAGGTAAAATTTATCCGAGGAAATTTTGAAATTACGTCATTATTATTTTTTTTTTTTTTGAGAGATCAACGAATAAATTTTGGTTAACAATTTACGATAATTTGAAAACGTTTGCAAGATTTACGACCATTCGATTGTGTAGTTTCAAAATAAATTTTCAAATGTTGAATGGATTTGTTTTTTTTTTTTGAAAATTTCGAGGTTTAAGAAAGAATCGAAACAAATTCATAAACTACACGTGTATGAGTATTTTATTTTATAAAATTTAAGTAAAATTTACCGTGTAAAACTGGACAGATCAGACAAATTTTGGTTACCGTTTTACTATCTATATGATATATTCCCAACATATACATATATAAAATTTGACGACAATCGGTTCAGTAGTTTTTGAGATTAACTGTAATAAAAATCGATATGGACAGACGACACATAGTTATAATTACCCACACACATAGAGAGTCAGACAGGGAGACTGAAAGAAACGAGAGAACTATTTTTTCAAATTCCATGCATCATGAAACGTCGAGAAAACCTGAATGTACCCATTAGCCGGTCAATCGCCAAAAACAGCTCAAAAACCTTATTAAACGGCTGCATGGATTAGAAACTCTTGAACGCATTTCCATTTTTGAAATAGGATGACGAAAAATAATGGTTGAAAAATGAATGGTTTTCTATTTCCGGCCCAAAACTTTTGGGTACATGAAGAAATCACTAAAAAAATTGTATAAAGTTATTTAGAAAGCTCTTTCGACGCCCATGAAGTACAATTTTGACATTAAAATTTGAAAGGAATGAACACATGAATTTTAAATAGTAATTTATTACTGTCTCCATGATAACCTTAGACTTAGAGTGTGTGTAAACTTCCAGAGCAATTGGTCAAAATAAAAATTTCTTGTAGTTTCCAATTATTTTCGAAAAATTTAAATACAATATGTAAGACAAAAATAGGGGTAGCTTAATAAAGTACAGCTCTAGGAGCCTTTTATTCTGTACTTTCTAATTGGTAATGTGTCACTGAAAAAGTACAAACACATTTTTTCAAAAATTCTAAATCTCTATTATTTTTTGCAACTTAAGACATACAGTTTACTTAAGTAGTTTATTTGAAATTTTTGTAGTGTTGATCTTAAAAAATTAGTCTATTTCCTCGTTATCTATGTTAGATTCTTTCATTATCACTATAAAATAATGACTCCACTGACGATTTTCATAATTTAAGTTAAAAGACGTAGATTACAGTAGTAAAAATTGTTAATAATATGTAGTGTTCATTTTGTTTTTTGACAATACGCAGTTATTAAGTTATCAACTATCATATAGTCTCTGTATTTTTGGTAATTTTTTGAGACAGTGAAACAGTTCTTATTTGAATTAATGAAAATTTGTACCTTCTCCTGATGACGTTTTTGAAAAAATTGTGCCAAGTGAATCTCATTTAAAATGTATAGATAAATATTATTTGTTACTAATTTATAGGAGTTAACTTAAAAAATATTGTTACGTTAAACGGGCGAATAAAATTGGCGTGGGTTAAACTCAACAATTTATTTCTTACTAACTCGAATTAAACGAATAACTGTTACAGCGATTATGTACAGAATAACTCGGTGGTGCAACTTGAATACATTCGTTCACTCGACTCGACTTGCTGACTGGACTGGTTTAATAATAATCGTTCCCGAAAGTGGCCTCTATTTAAAGCCATGCTTCCCTTCTAGAAGTTCCGCAGTCGAAGTCTTTCTAGATTGCCCATTGCGACTTCCGCTTCCAGGCTTTTCTTTAGCGAAGGCCGGCCGCCCGGCCGATGAGGCATACTACATACTAGAAGAAACACATATGTCGATACAAGTAAACTTGTACAATTTATCTGTGCAATTACATACGAACGTCTCTAATAATTACAGATAATTAGCTTAATTTTACTTACTCACCCTCTCTGGGAAGCTGACTCCAAAGATTTATCATTTTAATAATAATAATTTTTCTATTGTACACGAAAGGTCTAATAAAAGAAAACAAAGTATATCACAATATTCACAACGAACTTTTGACAAAAT